CAGCTTCTGTCCACAAGGAGCTTGGATTCTCCGTGGACAGAGACTGGCTGCCAGCCCTGCTCTCGGGGACTATAGAATAGTCGAGTAACCAATAAGAATTCACGCAGTTACTTGACTATTCAATTACCCGATATCTAACATCCCTACCACACAACACATACTCACCCAGGAACATACCCCTGTAATAAACTCTGTTGCCAACTCTATCCATACATGTACACAAGCAACACCGTCACAGGACCTAACTACATAAGCCACATCATCAAAGGCTCATACAACTGCACATCCTCTAGTAATATATGCCATTAAGTGCCAGCAATGGCCCTCTGCCATGTATATTGGCCAAACTGGACAGTCTCTATGACAAAAATTAAATGGACGCAAGTCTGACATCAGAAATGGTAATACACAAAAACCTGTAGGAGCACATTTTAACCTACCAGAGTACTAAAAGATGGATTTAAAAGTAGCCATTCTTCTACAAAGGAATTTCAGAAACCAACTAGAGAGAGAGAAACTGCAGAACTGGTTTTCATATGCAAATTTGACACTCTCTCTCATGGCCTGAACAAAGACATGAACTGGATGGGCTGCTATACCCAAATGACATCAAAAGCTAAGTATGGCACACTTACAGCCCATTCAATTAGCCTCATTAGGACTGGTACTACAATTGACAGGTATTTTCCCCCCTCCCTTCTTTTTCTGTTATAAATTGTGAGGTTCCCGCTTTTTTCTCCACTCTTATCTGAGGAAGTAGGCTTTGCCCACAAAAGCTTATGATACTTTATATATATAATTTGTTAGTCTCTGAGGGTGCATCTACACTGTACATTATTTCGAGATAACTAGAATTATTTTGAAATATTAATGTGAGCGTCTACACAGCCATTCCGTTATTTCAAAATAATGGACAGCTTATTCCAAAATCTGTAAACCTCTGAGGAATAACGCCTATTCCAAAATAGCTATTTCGAAATAAGGTGTGTGTAGACACTCTACCACTGCTATTTCGAAATAGCCCCTCTCCAGGGCCATTATAAGTTATTCTTCCCCAGTGCCTCCTAGGGCTCTAAATTGAGATAGCATGTCTACATTAGGGAAACCTGCCTCAGACTAATTATGTGACTTCACTGCAGTGTAGATGTGCTATTATGAAATAAGCTGTTTCAGAATAACTACTCCGGAATAGCTTATTTTGAAATAAGCATGTAGTGTAGATGTACCATAAGGTGCTACAGAACTACTATTTTTTTTGTTTAACTAATGCTATATAATCTTCTCATGTATTTATTTTGTTTACATTGTTAGTGCATAGACAAGCCCTAGATTAATTGGTGATGAGTAACATTCCATACTGCAATGAAGGCTACACCTCCCTCATTTTAATTCTGAAGCACTAAATTTCCCAAGTGACTGACCTAAAAGATGGAGAATAATACTCTTTTGTGTGGAAAGAAAATACATCAATAAGATCCAAAGTCTGATAGTGCTCATTAAAAAGACCGTGGAATAAGAAGAGGGAGTTTATAATGAATTGTACTGACCTCCACCAGACATTTGGCAGTCATACAGCTTCAACTCGAAGAATTCTTGTAGTCTATAGATGAAGACAGAGACTAATCAACCAAAAGCCAGCACCCAGGTCAGAAACAGAATTGAGCAAATATTTCTTTGCAATATTTGTCAACATTAATTGGACTAAAAATTAAGAATTGGTGTCAACAGGCTTTGCATTTTAAGATGTATTTTCTATTAACATTTATGGCAGTGATGTGTGTTGGTAAGAATGTTTGCAGAAAGGTGGTCAGCTGTTTGTGGAATATTATTTGCACAAAGATTTGAGACGACTGTTTTCATATGACAAGTATTATTTATTCAGTCAGGAAGTGGAAATATTGTCACATGACTACAGTGATCGATTATACACCATGAATCAGGAAAAAGAAAATAGACACTACTCTAATAGTAAAAGTGAATATTTGGGATTGAAATATGTTCAAAGTATTAAAACAAATTTCAAAAAGAACAAATTTGAAAAAATCAGAATTAAGGACAGTTTGCCAACAGATAAAGGGCTACCATTATCTATAAATTAATAACTACAAATAATTTGCTCAATGGTATTCTGAAATACTGAAATGGAAAGTGTATTGATGATTGTTAGCAGGGTTTCTCCAAAGATCTTAACATGTGGCTTTCTGCCATGTCTTTTCCAATGACCACTTATTTCCTTTCCTGAAATCTTCCTCACACATACCGATTCCAATTTCAACAAGTCCAAAATAAATATTAAGGCTTTGTTTCATATCTAAATTTCTGTCACTTTGTGTCAGCTTTTGGAACCACTTGGTAGATTTCTTCTCCCTTGAGCATAGTATTTGATGAAATGCTAAAACCATGCAGAGACAGAACCCCAGATCACTCCATCACTAACTCAAATAGTCTGCCTTTCTGAAAGAAGAGATCAATGCCAGTTTTCAGAGATCCCTAGATATAGCTGTCTAGAACTAAAATGGAAGAACTTGCACCAACCAGAAAGTCAGTCCCTTCTTGTGAATTTAAGAATTTAATATGAAAGACTGCAAGTAATAATCACAAAAGCCAATTTCCACAACAGAAACAATACTGTCCAAGGGTATGTCTACACTACAGCGCTAATTCGAACTAACTTAGTTCGAATTAGTTAATTCGAACTAAGCTAATTTGAACTAACGCGTCTAGAACTAAAAACTAGTTCGAATTAGCATTTTGTTAATTCGAACTAGCATGTCCACATTAAGTGGACCCTGAACAGGGCTTAAGGATGGCCGGAAGCAGTGCCGGCAGGGCATCAGAGGAGGACTTAGAGCGTGGAGATGCTGTCTCAGGCTAGCCGAGGGCTGTGCTTAAAGGGTCCCGACCCCCACCCCGGACAGACAGTTCTCAGGGGTGCCCCGCTTGAAAACCAGTCCTGGCTTGGAGTGCCCGGAGTGCCCACACTGGGCACATCACACCACTCGGCCATCAGCCCGGCTGCACTTGCCGCAGGGTGCCATCTGGGGAGAGGGGGCAATTGGGGGGCTGCAGGAGAGCTTCCACCCCCAGAAGCCCACAGAGCCAGCCCAGTCCTCCCCATCGGGGGCTTGTGCCCCATTCCTCCCTCACCTCCTTCCACTTACCCTTCCCTAGCCCCTTTTCTTGATGTACAAAATAAAGGACAATTGTGTTCAAAAATGGAATCTGTCTTTATTGAACAAAACTGGGGGAGACTGGGAAAAGGAGGTGGGAGAGGGGAAGAGAGAGGCTGGGAGAGGGGAGGGCAACTAAAATGATCAGGGGTTGGGAACAGGTCCCATATGAAGAGAGGCTAAAGAGACTGGGACTTCTCAGCTTAGAAAAGAGGAGACGGAGGGGGAACAGGATAGAGGTCTCTAAAAGCAGGTGCCGACAGTGGCCAATACCAGATGCCTGAGAGGGAGGAACCATAACAGGTAATCATCATGTCATCCCTCCCGTCACCCACCTCCAGAGAAACAGGCTAGGGACACCATTCTTACACATCCTGGCTAATAGCTATTGACGGACCTAAGCTCCATGAATGTATCTAGCTCTTTTTTGAACCTGGTAAAGTTCTATCCTTCACCACATCCTCTAGCAAGGAGTTCCACAGATTGACTGTGCGTTCAGTGAAGAAAAACTTCCTTTTGTTTGATTTAAACCTTCTGCCTATTAATTTCATTTGGTGACCCCTAGCTCTTATTTGCTGATTCCCACAATATAACTTTTCCTTATTCACTTTTTCCAAACCAGTCACGATTTTATAGACCTTTATCATATCCCCTCTTAGTCTCCTCTTTTCTAAGATGAAAAGTCCAAGTCTTTTTAATCTCTCTTCATATGGGACCCGTTCCAAACCCCACATCATTTTTTGTTGCCCTTTTTTGAAACTTTTCCAATGCCAAGATCTCTTTTTTGAGATGAAGCGACCACATCTGTATGCAGTATTCAAGATGTGGGCACACCATGGTTTTATACAGAGGCAATAAGATATTTTCTGTCTTATTCTTTATGCCTTTTAAAATGATTCCTAACATTGTTTGCTTTTTTGACTGCCTTTAAGGGGTCCGGGGCCGGGAGAGGGGCATAGAGTTTCCCTGGTGTTGGCCAGAGTGGCCACCAGGGAAACCTGGGAAGCCTTAGCCTCCCACTAGTTTGAATTAAGGGTCTACACAGCCCTTAATTCGAACTAGCTAGTTCGAACTAGGCTTAATCCTCGTAAAATGAGGTTTACCTAGTTCGAACAAGCGGAACGCTAGTGTAGCACCTATTAAAGTTAGTTTGAACTAACGTCCGTTAGTTCGAACTAACTCTGTAGTGTAGACATACCCAAAGAGAAGTGGGGCATGACAACCCTGTCTCTAAGGAACACCAGTCACCGTATTAGAATTAGTTTAATAGAATAACTTTTTATATAACTTTACATAAAGTCTGCCTGAAAATGAACACTGGAATGTGACACCACTGCTGCTTTTGCTACATAAGCAAAGAACAGAAAAAACACCTTTTTTCTTTCTCTCTCTCTTTAACACTATTAAACACAAAAGAATTACTAGATTGAATCACAGATTCTGTGCTTGGATACAGTAGTGTGAACACAGAGAAACTGCATTCACTCAAATGGAATTACATAAGCGTAACTGAGATCGGTCTTTATTTCTGAAATACTTGTTTTGACAATGTGTGTAGGTAATGCATGATTAAGATAGGTATGCTATTTATGTATCATCATTTAAATATAGCAAAATTGCACTAAAATATTTAAAGACCAGAAATGTCTTTCCACACTGTTAAATACACTGGATGTGCTCACATTACTCCCAATAAATATTTCTGATTTCTATCATCTATGCCAGCAGAAAAGAGTGTGGTTAATGTGTCTTCTAATGTTTAGCCTGCATTATCTCTAACCTGCATTAGAATAGTGATAGAAATGTAGCCGTGTTAGTCTGGGGTAGTTGAAGCAAAATGCAGGACAATGTAGCACTTTAAAGACTAACAAGATGGTTTATTAGATGATGAGCTTTCGTGGGCCAGACCCACTTCCTCAGATCAAATAGTGGAAGAAAGTAGTCACAACCATATATACCAAAGGATACAATTAAAAAAAAGAACAAATATGAAAAGGACAAATCACATTGCAGAACAGAAGGAGGAGGCGGGGGGGTGGGAAGGGGGAGGAAGGAAGGTAAGTGTCTGTGAATTGATGATATTAGAGGTAGGGAGAGTGGGATGTTTGTGAGTTAATGGTATTACAGGTGATAATTGGGGAAACTGTCTTGATAATGGGTGAGAAAGTTCAAAGACTTGTTGCATTACTTTGTGAATTTAATAAACCAAGAATTTATTCCAAAGAAAAACCAATGCTCACCTTAAAATATTTGCCACTACTTTTTTTTCCTATCAGAAAGATGATGTTGAAGTTCCTATAGAAAGTGCATCCACATTTTCACTGATAAAAGAAGTGCATCATATTGGCATGACTAGTTGCAACAAATGACAAAATATCTATTTCCTATTTCAACTATGCAGGCTATTCTTTTGCAAAGTATGCTTCTGATTATTTTATAATTTTTTTATGGACAAGTCTGAGATCAAACTGAGACTCATAGACTTATTCAGAAACACCGTATGTCTTATTATGTTCAAGATCCACAGGACTATAATCACAACTTTCATACATGGCTTGATCCAAAATTTACCTAAGGCAATGGAAGGGCTTCAGTTGATTTCAATGAACTTTGGCTTTGGCCCAAAGGCAGTAGTATTACAAGTGCATGGGTATCAGGACAAAATATGGCAGAGTTAACATAAAAGCATATGTTTTCAATACAGCTATATTTTAGCAATCACTTTAATAAAGGGAATTATTACACAGTAACTGCAATTTTTTGTATCGTCAAAATAATGGCCATGCAGTTTGTATTTCACCAAAGGTTTTTTTTAATTTAAAGTATGCTGCTTGGTGGGACATTGTTCTAGGTCATTGTTTAAAAGGGAACATAAGCTGAAAAAGAGACAAGACTGAATTCAGGATCTTGCAAGCCCAGCAGATCTTAGCAAGGACACTATGAAACCCAAGCAGATCAACAGCATGGAGATTTATGTGAGCAGTCCTTGTAGACTTTCCTACCTAGTATAAGGTCACCTCGCTCAAGAGGAAAATGTATTGAAAGTGAGTTTATAGTATTTGTTAAAATTGATTTGAGGGAAAAAATATGTATGTGCAGACAGGGTGAAAGTCCAATCAATAAATCGTTTCCAAAGATAACTGCTTTTTCAGCACAGGAAGAGGAATAGTTAACACTATTTATAAATAGTGATGTGTATAAAATGATTTTAACAATACATTTGATATCTCTCAGTCTATTGCTGATGACAGTCATGTACTTCAAAGCAATGACACCAATTTTATTGCATGTGAGCCTGTCTCCTCCCACCCCCCAAAAAAGGATTATCAATCAGTCTCAGGAGATTTTAGAATGCTAAGCATAATGGGCACAATCTTACATTATAATTTTAAACAGTGGGGGAACTCTAGGAAAGAGAGGCTACAACTAA